ATTTAAGTTAAAGGGAACACTATTAATAGAAAAACAATAAAATGATGTTTTATTTTATTTTTGATGAACAAAAGCAAACAACACATACACACAAAATGTGTTTTAAGCAATCTAAATACCAAAAATGTTAATATTTGAATAAAAACAAAACTAACAGAAAATATTATGGATATATCTAGGTTAAAACATATTGCTTCACACTAAGAAATATGTCCTTATAACTCACAAAATTTACACTTTCATCAAAAACACTAACTTACTGGTTCCGGTAGCATAAAAAATCCCTCTCATATCACTGAGTGAGTTGGGGTCATATCCATGATTTCCAGTGTAAATTTTTGTACCAAGTGGGAACATTTTGCCCATGACCTGTACCTGCAAAGTTGACACCAATAATGTGGTAAACATTTAAAGTAAACAGTTCTGAACTGCCTGGTATCTTTCCACTACCTCATTTCTCAGTTACAACTAAAGACCCCAAAAAGAATGTCATGTTTATAATCGTATTCATGAAGAAAGTATGTTACCGATATAAGCCCAGTTAATAATTTAATTTAAATATGTTTTAATATATCTTCGTAGATTCCTTAATTAGAAACATCCTGTCATAACACACTTAGAAGCAAGTAACGTATACTACGTAGGTTAAGAATAATAGATTGTGATATCCACGTAAACATTTGAATAGAGACATCTAAGTGTAATAATTCCACTGTGACACTCAGGTAAACCATCTAAAGTAGATTACCTGAATAGAGGTGACTAGTTAAAATACTTCCATTATCATATCCGAGTAGATAATCTATACTCAGGCACCTAGTTAAAATGTTTCCATTATCATATCCAAGTGGATTGACTTTTAGTTAAGACGATCTACTTGGATAGCATGACAGAAATAGTTTACCTAGGTGTCTTAGTTCGGACGATCTACCTGGATGTGATACTAAAAACATTTTAGCTAGGTGTTTTATCCAGACGATGTATTTGGGTAACAGGACGGAAATATTTTACCTAGGTGCCTCAGTCCATATGATCTACTTGGATATGACAATAGAAGTATTTTAACTAGGTGTCTCAGTCCAGATGGTCTACTTGGATATGATAGAGGAAGTATTTTACCTAGATACTTCAGTCCACACTTAGCTAAAATACTTCCATTAACATATCCATGTAGATTATATGGACTGAGACACCTAAGTAAAAACTTCCGTCATGCTACCCAAGTAGATCGTCTGGACTAAGACACCTAGCTAAAATACTTCCATTAACATATCCATGTAGACTATATGGACTGAAACACCTAAGTAAAAACTTCCGTCATGCTACCCAAGTAGATCGTCTGGACTAAGACACCTAGCTAAAATACGTTTGTAAGGATGTATGTAGAATATTCGCATAGTAATATCAGGCAGTAGGGAAATGAACAATCTGAATAATGATATCCAAGTAAATCACCTGCATAGTGAAGTCAAAGTAAAATCGGTCCATAAGTTGTATCAACGTATAACTAATGTAATCACGATTTTATCTTAAATATTTGTGGATAACTGAATCGAGTAATCGTTGTGAAACCACTGGATAAAAATGGAAGTAAAGGACATTGATAACAGCTTGATGACGATATTTCTGGAAATTCTCGATGAATACCACATACAACTATTTAATATTGACGTCGATGTAACATAGTGAATATTAAACTTGACATTTAGATGTGTAGCTAACTACGGTAAAATTAGGATAACTGTAAAACTTACCCCTTGAATATAATATCCTTTGTCAGCCATAAGTAGAATTTTTGGGACCAATCGGTGATTTTTGAGGTGATATTTTTCTGGAATATCTTCTTTTTTGTACACGCGGAGGCCTTCCAACTTAGCTCGTATAAGATCTTGGTAGACCTTTTATATTAAAAATACCCTTTGAGACATAAATAGTTAAAACCTTTTATTATCGTATACTGACTGGAGACTTATTAGGACCCCCCATATTTATAAGATATGCCGTTTATTTAAATATGCAAAATAAATTCATCGTGATATGTCACGTATTTGATTATCTGAGAAGATGTAATCAAATGACAGTAAGTCAGCAGGAATAGAGAGAAGAACAAGAATTTATCCTACTGGCAAACAGGAATGATATTGGGCAACCTAAGAATAGGTATGAAATATGCCAGTGTAACATACTTAAACAACTTACGTGGAACCGAAACTTTAACCATTCTGTCTTAATTCAAACCAGTCAATAGAAATAAACCCTCAATCGCAAACGGTAAGAAACGCCACAGTATTTGCGACAGCGGTTTGATTTTTTTTCAATTTAAATGTTTATATTTGATTTGTATCTCTACGTAACAAGTAAGTAAGCGGCATATTTCGTTTATAAATCTGTGTTTCTAGTTGGAACTTTTTTGAGGTATTTCATTTCTAATTTTCAAACATTGTAATTTCAAATCGGCGGTATATAATTACTAAAAATAATTATCTTTCCAACCAACGATTATTAAAAAAAATTCAAATAAACAAAAACTATGAAATGAATTGTTCGAACATATCAGCTACGTCTTTCGTCTGTAAATATTGTTATGACAGCGGAAGTCACGTGACGCTAGTAACACGTCATGAGATTCTCGAAGGATCTTGACTTTTCCTGGCAACTCTAGTCTTTTCTATGCGCCCTCTATTTTAGTATGTAAGCCCGGCAAATAAAGCGGAGAGATAATTGCAGATAGAGAGATATAGAGACAGATAATCGAGTCAAGCGAGCGGTAGTGACCGTAAGTAAAGTGCGTGAAGCGTTGTGAATTATAGCGTGTGTTCAAGTTAAAGTGACTGTGGAAATTAAGTGTATTACAAGGTTTGTAACGAGAAAGAATAAACTAGTTTTAATTAAGAAAGGACTTAAAGATACTAATTTTACCGCAAATGTTTTGCTGTCTCTTCTAGTATCGTCATATTTGCCTCAATTTGATACGGAGTCTTAAAGTATTAATGTATTCTGATAGAAATTGTAGTGTTCAGTATAACCGAGTCCTGAAGTTGTGTTTCACTGATTAATGTTTCAGCCCGGATTAGATTATATTGTTAAGTATCTGCTTGTTTGATAATTTCCCGTAAAAATTCTCTCCGAGAAACTTGAGCGATACTACTTATTAAAGACTTAACTAATATTAGGCCTAAGGCAAGAGAACTTATAGATTTCGGTGTCTGCAATTACAATTATTTTGTATTATTCTAGAAACCCTGTATTTAAAGAAGTAGTGTTGCAATCCTCCATGATAGTGCCCGTTGAAGGCAAAGAAGAAAAGGTGAGGTAAAGATTTGATAAGGACTTGGAAGTATCTTCAATCTAATCGATTAAAACAATACTCAGTTTTTGTCTGTTCTGAAAATGAGCGCACACCTTACTATCTAAATGCGCATGCGCGCGCGCTTCTTTTCAACAGATGTAAACAAAAGGTATATGTACATATACTTTAATAGACATTTTGTACTACAACACAACTCATCAATTTTTTTAAAAAGGTCTAACGCTACTTCGTAGAATAACATTATAAGTTTATGTACTGATGGTATTAAGTTCAGTAAAGTTTAGCCCTAACTAAACAAAAACAAAAAACATACACAAGTTACAGTTTTAATTTATCTCTCTGTCGAATATAGGTCGCTGCGCCCTTATTCAACATTTTCACAATGTCATTAGGATCAAGGACGGTGCTTACATTTATGGCCTTGACTTTCGGGGACTTACTTGACGTCATTCCGTGGTCAGAAATGATTATTATATTCACCTGAAAGAGTTGGAAAAGACAAAGGCCGCACGTTTAGGGTGATGTTTACTTGAAATAATATTGACAAACTGAATCATTTGGAGAATGGAAGTTAAATAGAAGGATAATTAACTAGTTGTGTAATGACTAACTTCAGATGTAGGATAATTTAACTACAACGATATTTTGAAAGACTTAAAAATGATACTTTAGAGCCATAGCAATAATAATGACTTCCGATTAGAGTAAGCCATTAAATTTGAGCGAAACTAAAAATCAACCTAGTAATTAGTATATCTAATTAAATATACGTTTTCTTATGCTTCTACTTATAAAGACTAAACTGTAATGTTTCATTAGTCGAGTATTCTCGTTGTTATTTCATTTTAACAACAAAATTGAAGACCTAATTTTGTTTATTTTAAAGTTGAGTTTAGCAAACTCACGATAATTGTCTGAGAGGAAACGATAGAATATAGTATTATAGCAAGGAATACAATAATTATATACAAGAAAGAAAGCAACTTTTACATTAGATTACAGGTATAAAAATCACGCAATTTGTACATAAAAATACAATTTATAGAATTAATATATCTTATATAATTTTCGATAAACAATGAAGTAAATGTTAATTAAAAATTAAAAAGTGTAGCTTGCACTCAACGCCTCCCAGTGACACAGTGGTATGTCTGCGGATTTACAACGCTAGAAACCGGATTTCGATACTCGTGGTGGGCAGAGCACACATAGCCATTTGTGTAGCTTTGTGCTTAACTACAAACAAATACAAAAGAAACGTTTGGTAAGTTTATATGGTTATTATGATAGTAACATGTGATATTGTTTCCAGTGGTTTGAATGAGGTCTATAATGACTATATTAATCTAAGCTTGTCACGAAACTAAAACTATGGCCAAAATAACTTTATAACTCTTCATCTGTTGAATAATTTTGAAACATAATTATATAACTCCTGGTGAATAAATTTAAAAGTATTTTACCTAATAAAGACGAAGCAGTAAAAAAACAAAGAGCAATGTTTAAATATATTGAAATACCTTCATAGTAACCTTGAGTTGTGTCCAAACATCATGATATGAGTTGACTGCCATTAATAATAATAATAAAGTATACAGTTCTAATAGACTGGTTATTCAGAACGAATAGTTAGTTTTATTGTTATTCTGATACAGACTTTAGAACCGTGATATCTTCTAGTAGAGTTTAATTTCGCTCGTTTATCTATTTATTTTTTGAAACTAAGCAACTTTTCTTCCATTGTTGAACTCCGTCCTGTCCTCTCTGTTAATATATATTTTGCTGTAACTTTCTCTTCTACTTGTCTGTCAAATTATTTCGCCGAAATATCCAACGATACAGAAATTTTCATCTCCTCTCTGACCTATGAACTTTCTTTTCTTCTGTATATGCACCCTAATGTATTTTACGCGGAACGGTTGAACTTTGCCTCTCTCGATGAACTTCATATTTGTCCTTGATTCAATAAATACAATTATATCCTGCTTGTTTTGTAGACTGCCACACCATTTCTAAACCTTGCTGTCTTATAAATCTACATTATTTGGGTTTATGATTCTAAAAATGTTTTTCCTTAACTAACTGGTAAAACTTGTCGTCCATTCGGTGACCTGCTGGTTTTATTGTATGTTCTTTTATTGTAATGCATTTTTTCAGCTAATAGGTTCTACTACTCCTTCCTTAGCCTTTGATTCCGTTTCTTTTTCATCTAATTAACAATATTGTCTTTTTTTTTCAGATGATTTACTCTCTACTATTCATTGGTTAGTGGATTTACTATCCTACCCATTCTTCAGTTGTTAGGTTTTTGTTTTTTTAATTTCGCGCAAAGCTACACGAGGGCTATCTGCACTAGTCGTCCCTAATTTAGCAGTGTAAGACTAGAGGGAAGGCAGCTAGTCATCACCGCCAACTCTTGGGCTACTCTTTTACCAACGAATCAGTTGTTAGGTTCTACTGATTCCTTCTCACTTGGCAGATTCTAATGTTCTTTCTTCAGCTAATGTATTCTAATGTCTCCTCCCCAACTTTTGGATTCTACTACTCTTTCTTTAGCTAAAAGCAGCCAATGCATCTTCTTTAGCTGTTTCTTAGTCCACAATTTGTTTGTTCCTTCCATCACGGCATGTGTTGAACGGAATTGAATGGTTCGCTTGGAGAACTGTACAAAATTAAGGTTGTCAAATGTCCATGGTCGGAAAGTTATTCTCTTATTTTTTCCAACCTCAGATTGGCAAAAAACATTCTGGAGAAGCCCTGGGCCAGTATTTGTCTTGTGAAGATGAGTTCTTGAAACCGATGAAAAGAAGCGAGGGTCAGAGTGACAAAGAACAGGATAATAGAAGATAAAATTCATGAAGAAGCCTTTAGAATATTATTTGACTAGTCTACAGCGCAAGGTGTTTATTTTTTTACACAAATAATATCCCATAGACTTAATAAACAATGATTATGTTGAGTATAAATTTCGGATACGAGCAGAAAAAACAACAACAAAAACATAGATAACATTCGAAAGAAAATATACATATATATAGAGTTAGTTTTATATATATATATTATTTGATTTATACTGTAAGTAAGAAAACACAAAAAAACGAATAATGATGTTTAATTTTCAAATAATTAGTCGAGATTAAAATAGCCTAGCAAGAGAAATAAATCGTCTTCAGGAATTATAAAAGGTATAAAAAACATAAATTTTAATGTTCTCTGTTACTTTTTTTATGATAGAGATTAGTAAACTATACATAAAAAAATATTTGGCTATTACTTGACTGGTCAACTGATCATTTTTACGACCTGTCAAATACCCAATATTATCACGAACTAGCAGACTGTGCCCTTTAAAATAAACTTGTGAACATTCCAGCGGACAACTGCTCCTGGAAGTAAAACATTAAATATGTATATATACTCGTCACTGGTTGCCTTGTAAAACAATAAAGTCATTGTAAAAAGATACAAATATAACAGACCATAAGCAACCTCGACAATAAATGTAGTTTTGCAAACTCTCAAGAAGTAAAGACTGGATATCGTGAAAGAAGGAAATTGGAGACTTGGTGCCAGTAGACTGAAGTCAAGTATTCAAATAACGTGTTTCTAACTTCTCGCTTTCAATAATTTTTATAGAGGGTTTGTTTTTAAGTTAAGCACAAAGCTACACAATGGGCTATCTGTGCTCTGCCCACCACGGGTATCGAAACCCGGATTCTAGCGTTGTAAGTCCGCAGACATACCGCTGTGCTACTGGGGGGCATTTTATAGAAGGAGTTTTGAAATTTTTTGAAAAGAACCAATGTAATACTTCCTGAACTGCTTATTAAAGCGAACTCAAAAAATCAGATAGAACAAATAAACAATGGTATAAAAGTGGCATTATAAGACAACTCCGAGGAAATAGAAGCTGTCGATGAACATGAAGGAGAAGAACCAAGTTTATGGGTCATCAAACAAAGCAACAAAAAAGTCCATTATTTGTAATATTGTTGTGTCACAAGAATACTCTTTTTTTACTTCGTCTAAAAAACAATATATTTGTTATTTATTTTACATTCAGCTTATAATACTCTAAAAAAGACGCGACTTTCATTGAAGTTTTTACTTGTTAACCAGCTTATTTCCAGAATAAGAAATTAAATAAGAAATTAATGATAAAGGTGTTGTTATAAAAAAGTGTTAAGGTTTTTCTAAATATTGTTTCTATCAGCAAGTTGCCTTTCAACTTCTAAATAATAGTTCGTAAATTAATTTTCATATTTCCACACATCATTCGTGATAGTGAGTTATAGTATCAACTTTTTCGGTTTGGTTTTTAGATTTTTCGCACAAAATCGCACAGGTGCTATCTGCGCATAAACTTCCCTAATTTTGAACAGAAAGACTAGAGGGAAGACATGAAGTCAACAATAGCCATCGCCACCTCTTGGGCTACTCTTGCCTGACTGAAAAATTGGATTTGACTATTAATTTTATAGCGCACCACAGCTCCAAAGTGCAGAGCGTGTTTTTACAGCAATGGGACACAGACCATGAACCCTCGAATTCACACTCTATCCACGATAACCACTAGGCCACGCCCGACCTTTGATTTTTATTATGCTTGATCTAAATTCAAATATCGAATTTCATATCTAAGAACAAAAGATTAATTTTTTATTCAGAAAAATTTAGACGTGAAAATGTTTAATCAAAACTTATCGCATTGGCTTACTTAGTGGATTGGTTTACACATAATAAGCACTAAATAAAGTAGTTATGTGTCTTGTTATGATTAGGTTTACCACTCTGCATGGTACAAAATTACCTTCGTTTGTGCCTTGGTTAATTTGAAAGATTGGGAACTTCCTCACTCCAAAAACATTCATTTTTTGTTGACATAGATATATCTAGGACAGAAGAACTTCTATAGACTTATTGATGACTTCTAGCGAACGAAATACATTTATAACTAACTCCCAGCAATCTAGGTTTAGCGTTAAAGGCAGTTTTTCTATTATACTTAGACACGGATAGTTGTAACAGCTGCAGTGTTTATGATTTAAACCTCGTCAAAGTTTTGTGAAACCCGACAAAATAATAAAATCTGCAGTTTTATACTCACCTATAAAAAACAAACTTTTAATAATTCTGTTAATAAAAATTATAATTTGACTTAAATTTTTTTTAGTTTCAAATTACTTTTGATTGAATTAAACAGCTTTTACTTACTTCATCTTTCAACTTTCTGCTTGAAATCTCATCCAGTAAAGTGTTTACAATGTTGTCGATGTCTTGAACGGATTGTTTACATTGCTTGGACTTAGGGCCATAGGTATGACCTGCATACAATGAGATCCTCGTGGCATTAACACTTACAGACAGATTGTAAGAGCTAAAGCTTAGTAGGTAAAAATAAACTCTTTTAAATAATAATCATGCCCAAAAAACGAAAGAAAAAAGAACAAAATATTTACCACTTCTATTTCAAATTAGCATAATTTAACCCTGGAAGAACCGATATGGTCCAAACTATTCATGAATCAGATTATATCAAGATCCGTTATTTTGTTGGTTACAGTTTTTAATAACATAAAACGTAAACTAAAATACTTATCAACATTCTAATTAATCGCACTAACTTTGAAAGCTAATGTCTTTCGTCAGTTCTTTAAATTGAGCTCTCTAATAGGCAGAAACATAAAATCATTCAATATAATGTAACATGTTGAACCCGAAGTGGTGAATGATATAAACACATGTTGATAGCACAACAAGAGAAAATAACTGCAGTACAGCGTATCACGGCCCCAAAGAGCAGAGCGTGTTTTTGCGACAACGGGACTCGCAAATCACGAACCCTGAGATTCAAGGTTAGATAACGCTAAACACGAGGCCACACCCGGCCCTACAGTAGCTGAGGCCGCTAGTTTTAATAATACACGTTTTTCTTAACTGTAAAGTGAGGTAGCTACATTACAATTAGAGGCCACATTTTCAGCCCCGGCATCTTTTTCTGGGTTAGATGGCTAGGTCAGAGACCCCTAGGGCTCAGGCAGAGCCGTTCGAATTTTGTACTACTCACCAGAATAATACTGGACAAAATCTTGAAAAGATAACTCGAACTTCATTATGAAAGAAAATGAGTCCAGTCTAAAGTAATAAACTAACTCTAACGGTAGTATGGAACATATTGTTAAGTTCTCGAACATCTCTACAGAAGAGAAATACAAGTTTCGTCATTTTCATGTTATGTTTTACTCATGATAATGCTGAGTTGGGTCAGTTAATGTTGTATACATTGTTTTTATTTGTTTTCTAAGAAAGCTCCACTTATTATCGTTTCAGGATTTTGTCTGATTTCCTTCATACCAAATAGATACGATATCCGGCAACAGGGACTCAGAGAGAGCAGTGAGAGATGCCACTGATGGGTTTTTGTGACGTTCTAATTTAAAACCTCCAGGCACTTATTTTGCGTAAATTATTTCATTGAATGTAGATATATTTTACTTGCGTTTATTTAGCTGTTTAAATGTTAATGTAACTAATGAAAATTGCAGTTATTAGTCTCTATGTTACTATACAGCAATCTTTAGCTGGATTTGATAACATTTATCAACTAGCCTTTTTCTTTTTGCTCATATCAGGGGTGAAATTCTGCCGGTACTCACCGGTACTGAGTACTGGAACTTATTTTTTAAGGCGGTACCGGGACTTATTTGAGCTGTTGTTTTTTTTTATGTTTACACGTATATTTTTTCTTTTTTAAAAAAACAGGCCCACTTCACTCAGCTAAGTACCTCTACTTTTTTGTTGTTGAGAATTTCACCCCCTGGCCGATACCATTAGTAGGCCACACACAGTACTAATATGTAGAGCTCACACCAGCCTAGTCAGAAAATGTAGTTAATGGGTAGAGGATGAAGCAGAAAATGTCTGTCAAGACATATTTAAAGACTATGTTGGAAAATAGTCTATCTTCGTAGTCACGAAGGATTCTCACACCAAAAATATCGAGAGAGTTCTGATTGAATTTTAAAAAGAAAGATCCAAAACTCGAGCACTTTCGAATAGTTGACTATTCTTCTTCAGTCAACCATTTGACAGCGCTCGAGTTTTGGCTCTTTGTTTTTTTTTGTGTGTGTGTGATCCTGTGTACTGTTTTATCAGAAGAGAAATCTGATTGATTATTCATCATCTCGAGAAGCAACAACATTCTGCATAAGGCTCGTGGAGCATTCAAGCTTTCCACAAGCAGCACAAGGATGGAACTGGAAACCATAAAGTAAGATCTCCTCCGAATTTCTGAAATCAACTAACTAAAAACGGACAGTGCTACCAATATAATATTTGTTACTTAGGTGGTACTGCATAAAATTCAAAATGGTTGGTTCCCTGATGGATGGACGAAAGCAAAGCAAGTGCATGGTAAGATCCTCAGATAAATGTACATACTGGGCCATGCAGGGGTAAAGCAAGACGAAGAAACTGACAAGCTCATAAGAGAACCTTCTTTATAAAATCCAACACAACTGTACTGGGATGATATCAACTTCCTGTACACTAGTTAGGAGAAAGTTGCAACCATGGAAAGCCTTCATCGACATTTAGAGGTAATGAGACTGTCGGAAAACAATGTATAATATGGTGTAACTAGTCAAAGAAAAAGACAGAGGATCAGTAAGACAGTACACAGCTAAAAGGTTACTTTTACAAAAGGATGATATTGAACATTATTTTTAACCTAGTGATGATATTGAACATTAGTTTTAACCTAGTGATGATATTAAACATTAGTTTTAACCTAGTGATGACATTGAACTGTCGTTCTCATCTGGTCATGATGATATTGCAATGCATTTCTCACTTGTCATAATATTGTTACCATCATCTGCTAATGGTGATGACATTGAACTGTCGTTCTCATCTGGTCATGATGATATTGCAATGCATTTCTCACTTGTCATAATATTGTTACCATCATCTGCTAATGGTGATGACATTGAACTGAAGTCTCTATTGGTCATGGCATTCAATGCAGTCCTTATCTGGTCATATTATTGAACTCCGGTCTTCATCTGTTGATGATATCAAACTATAGTGTTCACCTGGCGGCGATAGGGAACTGCAGACCTCACCGGACCATGATACTGAATTGCTGTCTTAATATTGTAATAATATTTTATTACAGTTCCTACATTTGAAAGCACTGAACTTTAGTCCTACCCAGTCACAATGTTGAACAATAGTCTTCATTTGGTGATTATATTGAGCTGTAGTCATCACCAGGTTATAATATTGAACTGTAGTTTTAACCCGGGTCATGATATAGAACTGTAATCCACAAGCAACGATAATGAACTGTAGTTCTCACCTGGTCATGGTATCAGATATTTTTCTTGGCGTTAACTGTAACGTATTTTATAGCAAAATGCTCTGAAAAAATACAAAAATAAAGTAATTTATCCAACAACTGAATTTTTTAGACATTGGATATTCTCACTGTTGGGCAATAACGTCGTTGTTAGTAGCGACGTTACGAACGACGTTACTTTTTAGTAACATTCAAGGTAACGACTAATTTTCAAATTTATTAACGTATTCGGTAATGTAGTTAAATTTTTAGTCAAAACAGCGCATTATTCGTTACTTTTTAAATTCAGTAATATACTGAATACTTAATATACTTAAAAATATAAGATAACTAATAACAATTAGTAGTTAAAACAATAATTAATAAACAAATAAAAACAACCATGAATATAATAAATAATATACTTTTTAAATATTATAATATTGGAACAGACCCCCCCAGTGGCACAGCGGTATGTCTGCGGACTTACAACGCTAGAATCCGGGTTTCGATACCCGTGGTGGGCAGAGCACAGAAAGCCCATTGGGTAGCTTTGTGCTTAATTTACAAACAAACAATATTGGAACAACAGTAGATGAATGAATTATTGCGCACGTTTTCCTGCTGAAACATGTTTTATCCTGTTGAAACATGTTTTAGATGAGTCATGAATTTGTAGGCTTGTAGTGGGGGCCGTCACTCTAACTAAGGACGCCTTTGTTGTGTATTTTCTGTCAGCTTTCTGTAAGCTATCAGAGTAGGAAGTTATGTGCAGCACTATGTCATGGAAAAGTGGCAGCAGTTTGAGTTAAACTCTACGTAATCCGTGGCTATATCTCAACAAATACTTTAAGTTTACTGGAAGAAGTATTGGTGACAATTTATCATACGAATGCTTACTTTGTTTGGCTTTACAGAAAACGTCCAGTGTGAACAGTAAATCTGCAAGCAACTGAAAAAAACACAACAACAAAAAAAAACGTGTCCATAAAACATGTCTCTATTACTAAGGAATTTGAGTCTACAGTGAAACAAGATGCAGCACGAAAAGCACAGTAAAAGCAAATGAAGGTAATGATAACATAAAAAGCTTGCAGTTGATCATCAAGAGTAAAAACAAACACTTTCTAATGTTTGGTCAAAGCTCTTGAGTGTCTCAACAAAACCTGAATGGGCTGATATTGGACTTCGTGGTTTCGGAGTCTTTGTCATTTAGAGTTGTCGAGTCCACATCCTTTAGAAATTTAATCACATCACTACAGCCAACAAGAACAGTCATTTCTTGAATAATATTAGCCTTCTCAAGTCGCAACTAGCAGTTGTCAAGGCTGTCGTTAGGACTGCTGACTGCTGGAGTTGCAGAAATAGGTAATTAAATAATAAATAATCACTAATTTTTTAGTCTCTAATATTCTCATATTTTTAAAACCATACAATTTGAGAGGTTTGTTTTTCGCACCTGAATTAAGAATATTGATATTTTATTAGACTATCATCTAGACTTATTTGTTATTAAAAGCATATTTGGAAACTGATGGAATATTATTTTATTTCAGAGCCTATTTAGGAGTCACTGTGCACTGGATAAATGAGGAATAAATGGAACGCAAGCACGCAGTTATCGCCTGTCGTCGTATAAAATGACGTCATACCTATGATCTCATTGGAAAGACACTAGAAACAATACATGTTGAATACTGCATCCAGAACAAAATTTTCAAAACTACAACAGATAACGGCAGCAACTTCGTCAAGGCTTTCAGGTTATTAGCATATTTTAAATTTAGGTGAATTTGCCTATATATTTAAATTACCCCATACATATAGTTCTAAGCAGTAGCCTTCAGTTAGGTAAGCTGGCGACTGCGTTTTCCACGGCTGACCCACTACCTCCACGGAATTACTCCCATTTGTGATGCCACTCATACATTGGCCAATTAGAGAGAAGCTTTAAAACATCACGATAAGAATATATAATAAGAGAATGAGAAAACAATTTGCTTTATACAAACATGGGTGTGGGAATGAATTAATAAATGAATGAAAGAATGAGATAATGGGAGAAGAGAAGATATGCATTACCCATATAACAGATATAAATTAAATTTCACATTCTTATAATTATTCCTTTCATGCTTGGGAGTCTTTCCTCTATCTCGAGAAAAATCGTCTGGCATTAGCCAGAATAAAATATTATACGAACCATTCGTCGTCGTGGAAAGATTAATATATATATATTTACATATACAACATTCAATATATATATATATATACAACAAACGCATTCAAATAACAGTAATATAATATTATTCCTATTTGGTTGAATTTATTGGTTGGCAGTTCTGTTTCACTTAGTTGGACGTCAGATCGTAACATTTCCTTTCGTGCTCGGATTATCGGCCATGTTATTAAATGTCAAAATTATTTTTTGCACTTATGTTGTAAGTTTAAATAATAGAGTGATAATTTATTTTACAGACTGTTCTCCAACGATGCATCCACTATCTCTCCTGACCAACTGCATGTTGATGTTGCTGGTAGTGGTGATGATGCAGTCATAAATGAAGAAGATGATGATAATGACTCAGAAGAAGATACTGTAGAAATTCATTCTTTAGCTGATATATTAGCTGTTGATGATGAGGTATCGTCTTGTTCATGTATGTACATTTTACCAGACCGTCAAAGATGTGCCTCTCATACATTGAATCTCGTTCCTACTACTGATGTAGATAAAGCTTTAAATAACACTAGTATAAAAAAGTGTCTCGATTAGCAAAAGATCAAACCCTATGGAATAAACAGAGCAGAAGCACTGTAGCTGCCGACACAATTGAAAAAGAACTAGGTGGATGCTTGGTTGTTCCTTGTCCAACTCATTAGAATCCAATGTTTGATGTCCTAAGTCATGTAGATAAGTTAATGTCTGGAAGTGAGTCAAGTGACCAAGTGCTAGATCGAGTTTTGAACAACTGGGCATTGTACAGCTGAATCCGGCTGAGAAAATTGTTATTTTGGAATATGTTCAAGTCATGAGAACTATTACTAGAACACTTGACATCTTGCAGTGTGAAAACAAAGCATTTATGGGACTACTGATTCCTACCTTGTATGTTTGTCTAGCCAAATTGGGCGATTTGAACAATAAACAGTTGCAAATTTGTAAACCCATAGTTGAAGTATTCAAAGCATAGAAATTAGATTTGACAACGTGTTCAACGATTATGATACAATTCTTTCGGTGTGTTTTCATCCTAGTTTCAAGCTCTCATGGCTTCTAGAAAAAAACAAGTTTGACAATAAATAAAAGAAAGAAAAGATGAAGACGATTATTTCAGATGTCTCCAAACAAAGGGGGCAGAAAGTACTGGAGACAAAAATGCTCAAGTAGTTGGTGTTTTCCTAGATAAATATCTTGTAAAGTCTGTTCACATTTTCAGACTCAGTCTTAAAGTCAGTTTTTATTTAATTAATTACAGCTATTCCGTCAAGTACTGCTGTGTGAGAGGTTTTTTTTTCAGTTGGACAAGATGTGCTGAAGGCAAAAAAACGAGGAATGTCTGATGCAAGTTTTGTAAGAACTGTTTTTCTTGAAATGTAGCAGTGATATTGTCTTCCCAAAATAGTAGTTTTAACACTGCAGTTATTATATGAAGTAAACTCTGTTAAAGTATTTCACACTAATTGATAAGCTATTTATTAGTTATTTTAGTCATTTGTATTCCTTTTTCTTGTGTTGTGTAAGTCATACATTGCTCTTACTATGAATATTATAAAGGAAAAATAAAAGTAGCTCCTTTAATTGCTATTCTAAAACCTTTTGCTGTATAATGCACTTTTTTTTGTCTTGAAATCAATGCTTGTAGTTCAGTTCTGTATACATAAATATATATATATATATATATATATAATATACAATGTACACACTACATGTTTTATGTACAGAATACAGGTATCTGTTTGAAAAATAACGAGTAACGAGTCGTTATTTGTGACATTTTAAAATAAGGAATATTTTGGGTAACAACACTACTATTTTTAGCAGGTAACGACCAAAGTAACGTCATTTTTCTAATAACGTGCCCAACACTGGATATTCTAGAGTATCAGCATTTTTTGGCTTACCCATTGCATCAACTGCCTCGTAATACATCAAAGAAAGTCGATATTTGTCTTCTTGAAAATCATTTAAAACATGTATCAACTTGTTCTTTGTGTCCTGGTTGACGTTCGTCCAAAACCAATAAGGGAAATATGGTTCACATACTGTTGGCGTTTTCCCCTTGATTTCCACCTGACATCCATCCCACCAATAGACGGCGCTACGGACCCCTCTCTTTTCAGCAGTGATCCAGATTGGTTCAGCTTCGTTCCACCAGTGTTCATGAGATGCATTCGGATGTGGAGACATGAGGAAAAGCTCTTTTCTCTCTGAATCGTACATCACATTCTCCACAAAACCGTGATTTTCAGCATATAAACCTGTAATATTCATATCCATAAACATTAGATGTAAAATATCAATCATGGCATGTATAGAATTTTTTTTATTATAACAATTCATTCCATTGAAGAGCTCTCCATGAGCTTCTGAACAATAAATTAAAATTGTTCGTCACATTACATAAAGGTAATGTTAAGTAAAGGCGTCCGGGTGCCCAATACAGTCTATCGTAAGTCTAACTTTACAAGCTATAATCAGTTTATCAACAAGTGCCCCTTTCATATGAAACTGAATGCAATATTTTATTGGTCTTAATTCTACATAATTAATAAGGTTTGAAATTAGTTCTGGTCAATTGTCACTCAAACTACAAAACTTGTTATTTCATGTTTTCATAAGTTAAAAATTTATTACTTACTTCGTCTACTTTCGTAACAGTCATTAAAGCGCCATCTATTGTGTATAAAATGATAAGTTGTTTAAGAAAGCTAAATATTATATATATTTAATATTGTTGTAAACTATTTTACATTCTTAACGTTTTAATTTAGATGTTTGTTTGCTAGAGAAAGCTAATTATTACGTTGTGATGTAGAAGCTGTGAGTACTATGTAGAAATAATAATACGATATAAACACAAGACTCACTGAACTATTTAGTTAATCAATAAAGTAGTAATAAGTGAATGAATCACTTCAGTGCCAGTCAGTGAGTTATGCAGTTATTCATTCCTGTGATTTAGTTAGTAAGCTAAACAGTGGTTAGTCACAGTGTTTGTTATCGATAGATTAATAAAAAAGAAATTCTACTTATAATTTTATCTGCAAGTTAGGCGTACATTGGTATCGGAGTTTTTGTTGAAAGGTTCTGAGGAGTGAGGTCTGCAATTGAATATAGTCTGTAGCAAACATTATTAAAGAAAGAAATCAGTTCGTTATCGTTACGTGACTGGACTTGGTATTATTTTTACCACATAATCTTAAAGAACTCGCCCAATGATGGAGAACGTTACAACAAAATACATATATTAATCTGTTTGATTTTGTTTTGCTTCAGTATTTTTGCTCAAATCTACGTAGGAGGTAATTGCGCATGGCCATCCCTAGTTTTTATGACTGATAGACTAAAGGGAAGGCACTGGTCAAAAGCATCGGCCGTTAACTTGTGGGCTACTCTTATATGACCAAATAGTGGAATTTGACTGTTACTCTTATAGCGCACACACAACACAAGTGCGGAGCCCATTTTTGCAGAACCATAAGGGAACTATGAACCTTGGATTCACAGTTCGGGCACATAATGAACTAATGTTTTCTATAATTTATAAACTTCTAGAAGTTTGTTTGTTTGTAATTAAGCACAAAGTCACACAAGAGGATATCGAAAACCGGTTTTTAGCATTAAGCCTTCAAACTTACCGCTAAGTCACTGGGGGGTGAAATTTCTAGAAAGAGCATCTCCTAAACAGGCTCTTTTTTTAAATTCTCAATTATTATCATAATCATAAAAGCCAAGCGTCGGTCATTCATTCGGTCACGCTCGATTTCTCCGAATTTCACGTATTACGTGAGTCCAATTCCTCTTTTTCTCTTATAATACTTCCACTTTTCATTGCCCGTTCCCATTTTAGTTGAATTCAATGGTTAGCATAGGCGTAAATAGTTCCTAAATTTCGTCACTTTTCTGCTATATAAAAGCCTGTCAAGGAGGGAGTTTTCATACCAAAGATTTATTTAGGACCGAGTGAAATTAATTTGCTGTTTGTTATGAAGAGAAGGTTTAGAACGATGGTCGAGTATTTACAAGAAATATGGTTTTAAGAGAACTATTGCAGTTACGCAATTGATGTGATTAAAAAATAACTGTGATCAATGAATGCTGGGAAGAAACACTCTTCTGGTAAAGTAGATATTGCTCATGATAGGCTTTGGTTTCCCAAAACCAGAAGGCCCTTTATTTTTCTTATGTCTGTTTACGGGCGGCAAAGTTGTAAATACATACTGGAGTATTTAAATTTGGTAGATTTTGGTTTCTCGTTATTTTTGACGGGCTTTTATGCTAGTCGGAAAATTAACATTGTGAAAATAATGGGCATTTGAAGAAACCAATGTTTTCTAGGATTTCCAAGATTTTATTTAAGTAATACAAAATACACGAATGCTTACAAAACATTTAAAAAGGTGTTTAAATAGAAAGTAGCTATTTGTACAGTACCCCCCCCCCCCAGTGGCACAGCGGTATGTTTACGGACTTACAACGCTAGAATCCGGGTTTCGATACCCTTGGTGAGCAGAGCACAGACAACCCATTGTGTAGCTTTGTGCTTAGCTTCAAACAAACAAATCGTACGGTATCACCAAGTGCCATTTAGTGACATGTTGGTTGTGTTAATTTATACTTTAGGGTATCGCGGGCCCCTTGTGGTCGGAATGATGTGCTCATAATTGATACAATGTAAGCCTAAATGGCGTTAATGATAATTCACCTGACTTATGTCCGGCTTACAACCAAACTATGTACAGAGGCTACCTGGATTTGTTGGGCTGAGAGAAGTTTATCCGAGCGGTCGGAGCTAACTAACTGCAAGGCCCGTAGTTGACGTTTGCTATTACCGCACCAATAGCCATCAATTAGAATATCGAAAATATGTACTGAAGACAGAAATTAAAATGAAAGTGAATAACTGTAACATTTGTATGATTAACGTAAAGGTTTACTAATGACAAGGTGAAAGGTATATAAGTGCTGTTTTGTAAAAAAAAAAACAAAAAACAATGCATATTTTCATTACTTTGAAGAACTAAATTCATTATTGTAAACTGATAAAAGATACTTGAATCTTCGTGTCATTATATGTAGTTAATAAAATAATGAAGAGCTTGAAAAGTCAACGAGGAAGTTTGAATGCTTCTTAAATAAAGTTCTATAGAAACTAAATAATTCCAGGGTATGAGAGGAGTGTTAACCTACGTTAATTTTGCTTTATATCACCAGTGGGAAAAATAGTAGAAAATAGAGCAAATTTTTTGCAGGAAGTTAACCTCCAATTTAAAAGTATAATTTCGAAACGGCAAATGTGGAATGTTGCAACTTTGACGGGAAATGGTAGGAAATCAAAAAGAAGCCATAGCAATGTTTTTGAAAGAAATTTAGAGGAGGGAAGATGACGTCACATTATTCCCTCCACGCCGATCTTGATCAATATTTCCAAAAGTCAGCCAATAAGTAGGGGAGGGGGGGGGTCGTAGAAAAATTTCAAGGACAAATTCAGATAAAGATGTCTGTCATGGTGGATTCTTAGTTCTGGTAGTTTTGTATACCTTTTGTTAATTCATTCATTTTCTGACAAGTTGGCGAATGTATAACGTACTCAAGATTATGCTTTTTTTATAATGTCATATCCAATTACTTCAATACTTTATTGAGTATTTCCATGGCCTGGTGGTTAGGGCGCTCGATTCGCAATCCGTAGGTCGCAGGCTCGAATCCCCGTCACCGAACATACTCGCCCTTTCAGCTGTGGGGGCATTATAATGTACGGTCAATCCCACTATTCTTTGTAAAAGAGTTGGCGGTGAGTGTTGTTGACTAGCTGGTTTCCTCCTAGTCTATCACCACTACTACTACTACCATGCAGATAATCCTTGATAATGTTTCACGAAATTCATAGCAAACCAAGCTATTTGTTATAAGATTTTCCTTTGGTGTGAAAAATTATCCTGAAAATATCTTGAAATTTTATTTGAGATCACCGTTGGAATATCTACTAAATGTAATAGGTTTCACGTGCAAAATAAGTATTTTTGAAAATGTGAAAATAATCCATTACCATTAGAATGCTCAAATGATCATTTCTGTTCAAAAATTCTGCTCAAATCTCACATCTAAAATACTGAAAGTAGTGGTACCTACCTGTCAAAATAGAATACCAGTTTGGATACGAGTTCGACGGGTAGATTGGTATAAGATACTCTGCTTTTACCCCATTATTGGCCAAACGAGGGAATCCTTTAAGTTTGACATCTGGATCGTCTAGGTAATCCCATCGAATTCCATCTGCCAAAATCACAATCAGTTTTTGTGTTGGGTTCTTTTGTTCTTGAAAAATTCGAGCACCTAGCGCAAGCAGAAAAAACAAAAGAAAAGCAAAACCTCTGACAGTGAACTTCATGGTGTGTTCCGAATAATGTTAAGCACTCAGAAAGTACAAGTCGGTAGAACTCGGACTGTCCCACATTTGAGCAGAATTCATAAGATATACTTGGCTCTACGTACTTATCGGGATTAGCCCATGTGATCACGCATGTCCTGTCGTTCATTCACCTACATGCAACATCAATTGGGAAATGATAGAGTTCACCGCCCGGCTAGAGTGCACAAGAAATTGTTTGTTTATTTTCCAGATTTTTTGCTCAAAGCTTCGTAACGATTATCTTTGCATAAGCCTAATTTGAAATTGATAGACTAGAGAAAGAAGGCAGCTTATCAATAGTACCAACCAGCAACTTTTTGCCTACTTTTGTTTGAATGAATAGTAGGATTTGACCATCATTCTTATAACGCACCCACAGTCCAAAAGCGCAGAACGCGTTTTTTCAGCAATAAAAAATTAATCACGAATCCTCGGATTCATAGTCAGGAAAGAGTTATTTATAAGCCCAGCAAACAGGTTTATCTATGTAAATAAACGAAGGCTTTGTAATTGTACTGTCGCAGTAAAAACCGGAGCTGGCGAGCCATGAGTTCAAATTCGTGCGATACGACAAAATGTTCCTCGTATTTTAAGCTGTGGTTTCGTTATAAGAGTGACAGTTAGTCCCTTAGCATGGCTGGTGGGTGATAGTGTGCTAACAGACTGCCTTCCCTCTGGTCAGTAGATCAAAATTAAGGACGGCGGCAAATACAAAAACAAACAGTTAATAAATACTATTTAGCCTACAATCAGTGAGTGTAGTAAACAGAGAAAGGTTTAAAACGATTATTATTATTTCAGAAAGAAAAGAAACAAAAACATAAATAAATGAATGCTTACGACAATAGATGGCTGTTTTTCTGTACGTAATCTAGAAAGTATCCAATTCCAACAGCAACAGAAAATACTTACATTTTGGTCCTCAGAAACGTCGAAAATTAGGGGGATTATAAGCTTTAAATACTAGTCGTCGTTGCAACATAAAATGTTGAATGAAATTAGTGTAAACGACTAATTTATAAAGAGTTAACTTTATCGGATTGTGCTTGAAGCAATGAGTAAGTTTAGAAGTTGTGCAAAGAAACTGAATTATTTATTAACAGGTTATAACACGTTATATCAGATTAAACAGTACCACTGGTATTTACGAACATTCTAATAAAGTAAATCCCCTATTTTTAAGACACTTATTTGTAAGTATGATGGAAGCATACTGTGAAGTAAGGTATATCTATTGTTTCGTGGTTTAATTTATCTTGGGTCAAACCATAGACCTACCAAAAGTTATCAAAAGTAGCTAAAATACCTATATAAATTTATTACAGTTAATAATCTAAGTTTAGGTAACGATCAGCCGTATAATCAAAATTTAATATGATAATATATCTTGCACGAGGTATTTTCTTCATCAGGTTTCTGTTATACTGTGAAGGTCGAGATTTTAGTTCATGACCATCACAGAATTTAACTAGAAGGGCACTCAATAGAGCACATACCTCCGTCACGCAGCGTTGATCATATTAGGCCCTCAAAAAATACGAAAATCTGTATGTCCGTCGTTATGACCGGTCACGGACCGTTTTAGGCAGAACAATGAAGAATAATATTCTACATATTTTCCACCAAGTTTCATCAAAATTCAATGATTTTTGAATTAATTATAGAGCAAAAATAGTGTGGAAAATCGGTCCCCATGTTAACAGATAGGGATTTTTTTTTTCATTAACTTGCTGTGACCTTGACCCTCCAAAAACTAATCACTTCTAAGTTGGATTATAGTCCAAATTTATACCAACTTTCGTCCAAATACATTCAGCTGTTTTCGAGAAATCTTGCTGATAAACACACCCACACATAGGGGTGAAAACATAACCTCCGTCACCACAGGTGGTGGAGGTAATTATCTTTGGGGGATTGTATATAACTGTATATAATTTCACAATTTTGTGAAACGAAAATAAGTGTATATAGTTACTAGCTAGTTTACTTGTCTCAATGCTCACAGAGTTTGACAGTTTTGCCTATAATTTATTATCTATATTACTAGCATTGTCTTATATAAGTACTTCACACTTTACGGTGCTTTTTTAAATTCTCAGATTTGATCAACTAAATAGCAGTTAGCAAGAGAAGTAAAATAATAAAAAAGTTAATATCTGTCTATCTATTTTGTTATTGTTAATTTGTTGTGTAACTTTGCATGTAATGTTTTTGATAAAAGAAATGAAGACAACATGTAGTACTCAGTATTCATCTTCCTTTATTGAATCATTAATTTTTAGCAAAAATACTTTATTAGAAATTCTGATTTTTTCTCTACAAAAGACTTATAATGTTTACTGAAAGCTTGCCAAAATTCGTGAAGATACATAAATCATGTCGGACGATGTATCGATACAATCGTATCACGGCTTCGCCGCATCTTCAGTTTTCACTCCTGTGTGTGTTTATTTTTGTGTTTGTCAGCGAAATTTCTCGAAAACGGCTGAATGGATTTGGAAGAAAGTTGGTATACATGTAGCCAATGACCTAACTTAGAAGTGCTTAGTTCTTGGAAGGTCAGGTCACAGCAAGGTCACGAAAATTCAAAATATCCCTATCTGTTAACATGGGGACCGATTTTTTCACACTAGTTTTGCTCTATAATTAATTCAAAAATCATTGGATTTTGATGAAACTTGGTGGACATATGTAGAATATTATTCCTCATTGTTCTGGCAAAAATGGTCTGTGTCCGTTGATAACGACGGAGATACGTACAGAATTTCGTATTTGTTTAAAGCCGTATATGATCAACGCTCTATTGAGTGCCCCTCTAATTATGGATATTATTGTTATCAGTGTTCGATATTTTACCTTTATCATTAGGGCCGGAAAGGGCGTACTTGTTAGCGAGCCGTACTCTTGATCGGAGGTCCCGTGGTTTGCACCCTGCACTTTGGGGACATCAGTGCATTATAAGAGTTACGGTCAAATAACACTATTCGATTATAATAGCCCAAAAGTTAGCGCAGGGTGCTGTGACTAACTGCCTTAACTCTATTAGTTCAAAATTAAGGATTGCTAGCTTTGTACGAATATCCGATATAAAATATATGTTTATAATTTATAACTTTGATAAAAAAACAAACGATCGATCGATAAATAAACATTGGTGATCAGTGTGGCATAAGTCATGTATTTTAAAAACATTTATGCTAGAAAGAATGTTTGAACTATCTATAACAAAATTCTATTTTACTCACATTTTCATTTCAGCTTCAACTTTTTTGTTAATAACTGGTCATTGGCGATTTACCCCATTAGTGGTTTGAATAACGGTGTGTCTCTTTCCAAATGAATCCCCCAGGGACACAGCAGTATGTCTGCGGACTTACAACGCTAGGAACCGGGTTTCGATACCCGTGGTGAGAAGAGCACAGAGGTACCGAGATT